CTGCATCAGTGAACGTTCATCTGTCGGGAAGTAATCATGCTCGAGCGCATAGATCATTATTCCCCCGATGCAGTTGTTGTATATAAACTCAGTTTTGTGTTTGATAACCGCTGGAGTGTTGAAGTAGAAACCATTGAAGTAACCATTGCCAGAAGGATCTCCCCCTTGCTCGATAAGTGTCTGATATCCTAGTTGTTGCCTTTCTCTCGTTTCGCCGTATAACGGTATCTGACTGGCTGTCGTCCACAACGATAGCGGAGCACACGTTTTGATATAGAGATCGCCTCAATGTATAGCAAAACAGACTCGGTCCTTTTGCTGTGTTATTTCGATCATCAATAATACCACATCAAAATTTGACGCGAGTGGTGTCAGAGCACATTGACACAGGTTGTTCTTAACCAAGCTTGTCTTAAAGCATATCATAACGACGATAGTTCTCATTTCATTCACTAGTACCATATCTTCTGATAAATATCAAGTATTCGCAATGACGTGTGTTTCCTATGTCACTATACAAGGAACGATTGTGCCGTTGGGAGTGTTTACTCAAATATGCAAAGTGCGGTGCTCCGCATAACGACAACTCACCCCGACAGCCAGCTTTTCGAACGGCAAGCCCACAGTGTCTCTCCAAACGTAGGCCATATCTTCAGTCCAACGGATACTAGAATGCCCTTCAGAATCCTCAACATTGTCATACGTCATCATCAAGACCATATCAACAGCATCAACGATGCCACCTCGCTTAGCACAGTCGAACTGTTGCTCCCACGCGCCTATGCTGAAAACACGAAAACGCTAAAAACTTTCTACTCACAGTCTTATCTCCATTCGGACTGTCGATGTCATCTAACAACTATCAGTTTCCCCCTATGTCAAAAAGTTTTACTCGAGATTTCTCTCAGGAGCTCATTTGATCAGAGTGAAAGCGTACATATTGCATAATCAAGCACTCCGTCAACTTTCTCTTCGTTTTGCTTACTCCATCGTGATGTAGGCGCTTCGATTTTCACGGTAGACGCCTTCATTAACCATTTTCAGAAGTGTCCCATAGTTCGTACAGTCGTTGATGTCCTTAGGGTATTCCCAGTCAAAATTGATTCCATCAAAAGGATAGGTCTCAAACAAGGCTTTGGTGGTATTCACGTACAGTTCCCACTTGCTTTCAGGACCGTTCATTAAATGCTGTGGAGTTGGCGACACCCAACTGAGCAAGGCGCCGTACTGGTCTGCTATGCTTCGGGCCATGTAAAACTTCTCTTTCCACAACCTCGGCATCGTATGCGAACCATTTTCGGCAACGTCAGCTCCCGACCAGTAGATCACGTGATTCACCCCCGACTGGAACAGAGCGTGATAGTATTCTGGCGTCCAGTACAAGTGAATAGTGAAAGCGAAGAATGGCTTCTCCGCGTTGACAGCGTAGTATAGCACTACAGCAGATAGGAGTGTAACGAGGTGAAACATGAGTACTGTGATCGGCTAATGACAAGTCTAACAACGATATTCTCCTTGTGATCAGAAGTCTGCTGTGTATCTGTTTAACGCTAGTAATCATGGAATTTGTGTCAAGCATTGTATGCCCATATAAGTTGTTGATAGCAATGGTATGATACCATCCCGTGAAAACATTACCCCAGCTACCGCAAGTTCGCAATGAGAGAAATATTAATGGTGAATAACTATAGAATTGGTTATATTTTTTCACAAAAATAGAAACTCCGTTGCATCACCACCACGGTTGCGGAGACAAATGCAAATAACTCTGTCGAGATTCACTTCACAGTGAACTACGACCCAACCATGAATTGACACAAAAGCAGTACGAAGGAGATCAATAACAATAATCGTAGCACTAGGCTGGCATGTCTTCAATGCGAGCCTTCTGATCGAGCCAATGCAATGTCTAAGCCCTCAACGACTGGCCCTCTGTGATTCTCTATCTCAATCGATTCGCCGAATAGTGTCTGAGGTATCTTTGCTCTCGATGCTTCTTGCTCATTGCAAGTTGCTGCAAGCGATCCTGGTGGTCTAAGAAGGATTAACGAGTTGCTTCGATCACTACACAACAGATATTCGGATGTAGACTAACTGGTTAGGATTCGTGACTCTCATTCAAACGACCGAGGTTCGAGTTCCTCCATCAGAAACTTCTTCAGCCAATATTCCACCATTCTCATGCTATGATCATCAATCTACACAACCTAATACGCCTAACCGAACCGCCTCGGTTCGTGTAGCAAATGAAGTTAGACCACATCACACGATGCGTTCTCTCGGACATTGCTGTCGATGCCTGCCTGCTACCAAGAGGTGTGGACAAGCCCAGTACAACGTCGGCATGTCGAGGTTGTGCCGATCAAGTGCTGCACTTGATCCGTGTTATCGGAGATCAATTTTGAGCAGAACATAGTCATCATTAGATCGCAATGCGATCGAGCATGAAAACGAGGAAATCTACACTATAA